TAACGCCTTCAGTTTTTTGTAAGTATACCACGCGGTGGCTCATTCACTCGAAAATTACAAAGCTAATACATTTATTACTTTCCTTAATCATTTAATTTATTTTATATAAATATCTTTTTTCGTAGGACAGCGAAGGAACGTGCAGAAAGATGTTCTATTAAGGCTGCTAAATGTGAGACGGAAAAACCTGCAAAAAAGGCTCCCAAGAAACGGGCGTCTTTTAAAGGTGCGAAACGCAAAGAAACTGTTGCTTCTAAAAAACCAGCTGCAGTTCCAGCAAAGAAAGCTCCATCACCACCAGCCGACAAACAAAAACCCCCAGAACCGAAAGTTTGCACGCACATGCAGCCTACAAAGAAAAAGGATTCCGTAAAGAAACCCGAAGAACCAGCACCAAGAATGAAATCGTAATATTCAAAATTTTATATTTTAATTTATATTTTTTTGATAAAACTGTTTTTGCTTTAGGAGCCTCTCTATATATTAAGTACATCATTTATAAGTTTTATTTCTATTTAGGATAAAAATCTATCGATATAATCCAGAATCTAAAAAACCAGCATGTCTTCAAGAATACAGTATCAACTTAAATCAATGTGGAAAAATGGTACTGGATGCTCTGGGAAAAATTAAAACTGAAATAGATCCTACACTTACATACAGGTAATTAAAATTTAACAAAAAATCCAATTTATCTTGTATTCATTTTTTGATAGAAATATTGTTTAGCAATATAAATGCACCTGAAAATTATCGAGATAAATAATAATATATGGTTGTTTACCATCTCGTTTTAAAAATATTTTACTAAAATATTTGGATAGGCGTTCGTGTCGTGAAGGAATTTGTGGCTCGTGTGGAATGAATATAAACGGAGAAAATAAGTTGGCTTGCACTACAGCTATACCAGAATCAGGTGTCTTAACTATTTATCCATTGCCGCATATGTACGTCATTAAAGATCTGGTGACTGATATGTCGCACTTTTATAGGTAAATAAAAAATATTAACATATAAATATTGTAACATTACTTGTTGAATACTAACGCAACAAAATGTTAATATCTGTTATCCTCACGCTCTTAATTATTTTCAGATTTTATTTTTGCAATTTCTTAAATGTTTTTGAGTAGTTTTTGTTTGATATTAAATCCATAAAATAGTTTAATTACTTTTTAGACAATACGCTTCTATAGAGCCTTGGCTACAAAGAGGAGACTTATACGAAATGGGCGATGAGGAATATTTGCAAAGTATTCGCGACAGTGAAAAATTGAATGGGGCCTATGAATGTATATTATGTGCTTGTTGTTCGGCTGCTTGCCCGTCTTACTGGTGGTCTGGTAAGTAATATATTGATTATTATAAAAGACATTGATACTGATTAAAAAATGTAAATTTTATTATGCACCAGGTGAAGAATATTTGGGGCCAGCAGTTTTATTGCAAGCGTACAGATGGATAATCGACAGTAGAGATGAAGCCACTGAAAGACGTTTGAAACAGATGCGTTGCCGATTTGCAGCCTATGGATGCAGAAGCATTATGAACTGCGCTAAAACTTGCCCTAAAGGTTTATTTGTAATAATAAACTATTACTCAATATTAAAAAACATTCAGTTTTTAAATTATTTAACATTCTATTAATTATTAATACACTTAATTTAATAAAATGATAATATTTGAAAATGTTAATTTTAAATCTGTAGGTTTGAATCCAGCCGCGGCAATAGCTAAGATAAAACTGATGTTGGCCGGGTGCGCTGAAAAGGAGGAACCTGATTTAGCAGCAAATGCTTCTAGAGGGAAAGGCCGCTGTAAGGCAGCTATGCCAGAAAAATGCGAAGATGACGATGATGAGCCAGAAGAACCAGAGTGCAAGGAAGAAAAGAAACCTAAATGCAAAAAGGAGAAAAAGTCTAAACCGAAATTCTGCGTAGAAGACAAAAAACCAAAATCCAAAGAAGAAAAAATACCTGAATGTAAAAAGGAAAAGAAACCTAAACCAAAACCCAAGCCAAAGAAATGCCCAGAACCTAAACAAGAAAAAGCACCAGTTTGCAAAGAAGATAAGCCACCAAAATCCGAAGAGAAATGCGCAACAAAACCCAAAAAAGAAGCCGCTCCAAAATGCAAAGAAAATGAGCCACCTAAAGAGAAAGTACCAAAATGTTTATTAGAGGACGAACCAAAATGCGACGAGGGACAAGCATCAAAAGACAAAATGAAGAAGTCTCCAAAAAGAAAAAAGGACAAAGTTCCTAAATGTAATTTGGATAAAAAAGACGATTGCGATTAAATAAATTATTTGGAATTTTAACATTTATCTTTTTTAAGTAAAGATACTTTCAATACTATCGAGATATTAATTACATAATTACAATCTCATTGAAAATGTCTTACTTATATTTACGTAATTATCAGTAATTATAAATCAGGAATATATTATTTTTTGTAATTTAAAATAATTTAGAAATTCGAAATGTTTTTATTAAATTATTTTTATAATTATATAAACACTACAACATTAAAGTAATAAATATTATATATCAGACCATTTTCATTACAGTTATTTAATACAAAAACATTTATAAATTCTTTAGCAGCATATAATTTTTATGATTTTTAGATATCATTAGTACTATTAATTGAAAAAACTGTGAATGAAGTTTGCCCGGATTCCTTTTATTTTTTTATGATGTTGATACTTAACATTAAAAATCACGTATAGAGATCACTTCTTGCCATAGTTTTCACAACAACATCCAGCTATCAAACGATGTTCTTGGCACGAATTGGCATACAGGAAACCACAGTCTGTGAACTGGCACTGATAGGGCAATCGAACTAAAACCATTTTAAATAAAATTTTTAAATTCTGATTTAATTTTTAAAAATTTTTGAAGCTTGATTTAAATGATCTTACAATAGGGGTCTCCGCAGCAACAGGAGTCATGAAGAAGTTTGTGACTGCAATAACTATAGACTGAAGAATCACATAGAGGACAACCACCACCTGCGCTTGGATTCAATCCTCCAAAACCTCCAAATTGTCTTCCTTCAACGGAAGATCACTACTATCTGGAACTAATTTAAAAATTATATTACAGGGTTTGAAATTATGAATAAATATAAATAACATTGATCTACGTATATTATGAAAATATCCACCGTTTTCTTTCAAATGCTGTTTTTCTTCAAAAATATATTGAGTATCGCATCTTAACCTAGAATAACGCGTTGCTTGAGGTCAAGGTGTTAGAGGGGGGACCCTAGAAAATGGGTAGTAAAAAATTGCAAATAAAGAAAGAACTATATTATTATATATACTATTTTATATTATTAATAGTATATCATTATATACTATTTTCATAAAATGTTAGTAACGACTATAAAAGTCGTTACTAACATTTTATGAAAAATTTAATATAGAGAAATTTGATAAATTTAAATTTCTCGAAACTTCATACATTGATGATAAAAAATAATATTAAATAGCGAATTAAACGAAAATTTGTGAGTTCTATGACGAATATTTAGGGCACCTCATGGTTTACACACATACACATACACATACACACATATATATATATATATAATAATTATTATTTACATATATTATATGTATAAGAAATTTCAGATTAACGGTAAGCCGCAATAAAAAATGCAAAACTTTAATAAGTTAATCTTATGATGAATTAACGGAAGTTGTTCACGCTACTTATTTCTCTTGTTATATTTTTTAAAGCTAATATAGAAATGTCTATGCAAACCATTTTATAATAAAGTATTTTTTATTTAGAAAAGTTTATATGTGCCAAAAATTGAAGCAAACAAGATTAAAATACTTGTAAAAATTATAAATTTTTATTTCATTTGTAAACATTTTGGGTCCATTATTTCTATGTTCAAAAGCTTAACAGTTTCACAAGTCATATTAGTACCAAAATCTTGTGTACTCACCCAATTCATGTGACCTCGTTCTATTCAGTAAAACTATAACGAAAACAAGTAATATTTGGAAGAATTTCATATAGATTCGTTGCATTTTGAATTATTAAATACGTAAATTATGTTAAAAACTACTGATTCTTTTGACCGTTGAATTGTAACTGATCAACAGACCACAACTCAGACTGGGTCTGAATATATAAGTTCAACGTTCTAACTGTAAGTGACAAACCGCCTGGAGCAGTTTTTTGAATTCAGTCATCAATGCGAATATATTAATCCGATAATCAGGTTTTGCCCTAGTTTTTTAAAAATTACAATTATTTGTAATATTAAATTGCATGGTATTAGAAAATTATATACTTCATTGAGATATAAATAGTTGCTTATAAATGTATCTCATTAAACTAATATCCAATTATTAATGAATAAAACATTGTTTTGACTGTTATAATCATTTACATAATTTTTGTATTTTTATGAAAATACATAAATACTTTTATAATATTAAGTATAATATAATAATTTATTATCACATTTTCTATCAGTTTGGTATAACATTGTCATCATTTGGTTTCAACAATTCTCACGCATATTTTATAAAGACAATAACTCTAACCAATATTTGCTCTACATAACGAAATTTATGCCTTGGACATAAAATAATATATTAAATTTATATACATGCAACATATAACTTAACACCTAAAGCTGCTATGGCTGTCATCAATAAATTATTTGGAACTGCTTTTGGACTGGCTGATGATCGAATTCTCCCTGAAAAACATATACACCATGAAAGAAATTAGGGTATTTCAAAATTTATACAAATAAATAATAAATATAACTTAAAGCGATTAATAAAAATGGATATATAAATAAGTACTGATTTATATACTGATGGTGATAATTTATTTTCTACTCACATTTTTTTTTCAAAGGAGAATCGCAGCAGCACCTTTTGATCCGATGATATTCGCCGCAATTAGCCGCATGCAAAGTGCATGTTTTGGACGATAAATAGCAAGAATGTGGTATGAACGGCAAAGTTTCTGAAAAATTCGTTGATTATAAAACTCACATATATTTTAGAACTATTTTCGTATAGGTGTTTGTTAAATAATAACATATATGTGTGAAGTTAAAGTTTCACACAAGCTTAATTTATAAAAAATCGTATCAGAACAGCAACTGCAACAACTATCAGAAATATCTTTTTCTTTGAGGTGAAATTACTACTCATAAAGTGTGATATAATATATTGCAGCAATTTTCCGGAAGGCTATTTTTATGTACCTTACACATATTTAGGTTTATATTTAAAGAAAAATGTATATCACTACTGCTTGATATCAGGTTTAAGCTCAAAACCGTGTGGTTGCAAGACCTAAGCTCCGACCTCTGCCCTACAAGCGTCTCAATTATCAAAATAATAAGGATTAAAAAAACGACAATTTCGGCGATCTGAGAATTTGAATAGTTAAGTTTCCCAGGGTTTCCCAGGCGAAGAATATTTTATTAAACTTAGCCAAAAAAGCTCAATGGCGATGATCTTTTGATTTTAAAATTTGCCGAATAAATTGAACAGTCTTCAAAAATTTAAAAAAAACATGATAAATTTACTGGAAACACAGACTTTGATCGTCATTGATCGATCATTGAAGAAAACTTATGAATGCAAGGATGCTTCAAATGGCAAAGAAGTTAATTTAAGGGTATGTAGTTTTTCCATATGTCATCAAGTCTTGCAAATTTCAAGTAAGTTTTTTTATAAATCTTTATATATTGCTTTAATTAAAAAACTATTCTATTTATTTAAATATTAAACCTTATTTAAGAGTCTTTTCCCGATTTGCATGATTCGTGACCAAGCGCACCACAATAATTTTCAATTCTGCTGCAGTTATGTTCATGAAATTGAAAACCGCTTGTTTTGTGCCGTACTGGTTATTAGAGTAATTTATTATTGCAGTCAAGGACATTTATGCAAAAGTAGAAAAAATATTATACCGTAAATACATCCTCTGTTATTATCTAGGCAACTCATCCATGCATTGGGTAATGACAATAATAAAATTTGCAAATTTGCGAATTTTTAATGTTCTTTAATGAAAAAACTATGCATTTTTTTAATATTAAATGTTTTTGCTTTATATTTGTCGATATGTATTATACATATTCATATAAGATGTATCAATTGATAGTATAAATAATCTACACAACCTAATTGCAAACGTGTACATTGTAAAACAATGTATAGTATCACCGTAACATTTTTTTTTTTTTTTTGTGGTCACAATGAAGAATGCATAGCCAAAACAAAACATCATTTATGATTCACGAAAAATTGTATATTTGATATTTATTACAACAAAAATTTGATAAATTTAAGAATTATTTACATATGCAACATGAGACATGACGCATATCACGAGCGATATATTATAACAATATGAAATGTATCCCTTGAGTGATAATATATATATATATATATATATATATATATATATGTATATATATATATATATATATATATACTACAGCTCTCAGATGCTATTATTCAAAAATAATATCCTTGATCAAGAAGTCTCATGACTTATTTTAAAAATAACAAATCAAAGCATACTTGAGCGCCCGACCATTTTCCTCAATCAAATTACAAAGTAAGTTTATTTATTAGTTTTGACATGTCTGAAACAACATTCATTTCTTTTGTTTATGAAATTCAATAGTTAATAAAATAAGCAGCGTTGATGAATAAATATATCAGGATATAATAATGTTTATTACAAGGAGTAGATTTTCGATCGAACTTGCTTGAATGAAACTAGGACTCGATATACTAGAAAACTTTATTTGTAATTTCTGTTTCAATATCTTTTCAGTAAAATATTTTTAATTTCAACATAATTACATTTTAACTTCAAATAAATTACGAAGATAAAAGTATTACTATTAATTTAAATAAAAGAATAAGAAGAGTAAAAGTATGTTTCCATATAAAAAATAACAAGTAGACATAAAATTAAGTTTACACCCCTGGATGTAATCGATGATTTTTAAAGATACATAGTGATACTTAAAATTAACCCCCCGGCCCCACCCAACATCTTGTGTATTATTAGTACCTAGGAAAAATGGTAAAATTATTGGAAATCTTTTGGTTATTTTTTAATACAAGTAAAATATAAATACACGTGATATCTTACAAGTACCCCCTCCCCATCTGATATTTCGTGATTTTTGTCAAACTCGACCAATTTTCTAAATCTCACGTGATTAATGGACGGATTCTAAGCCTTTTTGAGAAATGGAAAGCTTAAACGTTTTGAACCTTTGGATTGATTA